TATATATATATATATATATATATATATATATATATATATATATATATATATATACATTCGTTGTTTCTGTAACTATTATAATTTTAAATGTAAAATGAATTTCTTTAAAAATAAATTATTTATATACATGATGTCAAATTAATCTGACTAATGCGATATTATTTTAATTTTGAAACGTGAATTATAGATTATATATAATTAATTATAATTTCTTTTTCAGATATATCATTAATGGTGAAGTTGATAATTTGAGATATCTTTCATTTTTTTCAGATTCTAAAAATATCTGCTGCATATTTTAATATACTTCGAAGTATATTAGTCTAACCAGTTAAATGCGCTTCTGTAATCGAGAGTATAATGGAATGTGAAAGACGTATGGGAAATGAAAGGTGGAAATATTATATTAATCAATTATCTAGTCATCAAAACGTATGTAACATTTGAAAATTGCCAGCCAAAATGAACTTCTCACGAAATAAGCAAAAAATTCAATCAGTTTAAAAATAATATCTGTAGCTGATTGTTAAATTTAATACCGGATTAATATTTCTAGAGAATTCATATTTGTAGAGAATATTACTAGAGTTACTTGGTATATAATATTTCAGCTTAAATCTCTACTATATATGGAAGAAATTAAATTACTTGAAAGTTACTTTAGATGTATAAGCACTGTTTCAGTCTTTTACTCCTGTTGTAGAACTTCTTCTCTGCTGGAAAGTTAACCCTTGAATGACAGTTGAAATTTAAAATAGAAACAATATAATGTAGTAATTGAAACATTACTTATAAATCACTTGATATTTTTAAAATTTTTATTCTTTTCCTTAATTGTGTACCACTTATGTCAGTGTATACGTATGAAGAATGTGACGTGGTGGCGTTTGAGCTCCGTTACAAGGATCACGGTTACGGGGAGAGGGGCTGAACGCGCTTCCCCCTCCCCTTCTCCTAAGAGCCGACAACGAAATAGAAAAACCGCGTGAAGAGACGAACCGCGGAGATACATAATAAATAGGCCAAGGCTGTACGGGAGAGCTTTCTTCTTCGCGAGCATTCGGCCGAAGTAATTAGCCTTCTCTAAGCGAAGTCTGATAGCGAAGATACTGATACCGCGACGAGCACTCCTGGATTAAATCAGGGTGCCTCCGCGTAGTCAGCGGACGTCAGGCGGGTTACGCCGAACCGCCGCGAATCCGCGAGCCGTACTATTCGCGGTCGCGGGTGAGTGCTGCAGCGGGAGCACGAGAATTACGCCAACAAGGGCGATGCCCGAAGAAGGAGAGGACCGTGGCAGGTCAGGAGAGCGATGGCGCGAGGACGAGACCCGCGGCCTGGCAGACCTTCTCCGAGGCAATCAAAGATCCACCGAGATCGTAAGAAGCTCTGTGTTCTTAGCGCGTAAGCCGGTGCACCGCGGCGAGACGGGGAGAGACTATTCGCGAGTAACGCGAATAACGGAGGACGCGCCGTTCAAGTCATCGTTGCGTATTGAGCGGTAATCTTGTAAATAGTTCGAGTCGCGTATATTGTGTGTTTGTCGTGTATCTCGTGGCGTTTATTTTGCGGTTAACGTATTTGTGATACCGGTCGACTAAATCGTTGTACGTATCGGAAACGTGTTATCTTACAATCGCCTACTTTCCAAGATCTTAGCCTCCGCGGAGGAACGCTCTCGACGAGCTAGTCGCGCCTATACTGGGCGGTTTATCGTCGATCGTACGGCGGTCTCTGGGAGTACGACTCCCAGGTGGTGCGGCCATTTCCGCACCTGGCGTACAATCATAATTCCAAAAGAACTCGAGATAGTCGTGGAATTCCTCCCGGGCGGAATTTGGAGGTGAACGTCGAGTCACGAGAGAAAGCGCGCGGCCGACCTGGGGAGCTATAAGCGTACCACGTCGTAAGAACTACACACACATATTTTACATACCTTTAACTTTTAATGTGAATTTTAATTTTCAATTGATGACTTCTCGAGAGTCCAGAATTTTTATAGAATATCAACGTTTATTATTTTACTATTTCTTTCACTACTTTACGATTTTATGATTAAAATTACGCGGTTTCAATGGATATAGAAGCTAAGTCCGATGGAGTTACTTTCTGATGTCGTGAGAGCTAGCGGATAAAAATACTTTCTAGACGCAAAATCGACCTCACAAAAGCAAGTTGCTTTACAAACTTTGTTACGTATAACTTCTCCGACTCACGCAACATTAGAGATTTGATGCGCGCAAGCGCATTTTCTAATGGCAAGTTTATCTTATCGCGGACTTTTACTTCAACGATCAGTCCTGATTTGACTCGCGGCTTACCTGTTTCGCAGCTAGTACAACATTCTCCGGTCCAATCAAACGTTAGAATAAAGTAACTTTTGCATAGCAGAGTTGCAAAGCGATCTTCACAATGTGCGAGGTGCCACACAACAACCATTACCAGAACGACATTAAGAATAGTTTGCAACTAACTCGCAACATTTTATCCTTAATCGGTGTTTGGCCAAATTTCGATGGAAAAAGGTCTGCTTGCGAGAAAATTAAAAAGTTCCTACGAATTTCTATCTTAAACGCTATTCTTTATTTCGGTCTGGTGCCCAGCACGCTTTATTGGATATTTGAAAAGAGATTTTTTGTTCGAATTCGTTTGATACCGCTTCTAATCTACGGTCTCATGAGTTTAATCAAATATTATGGTTTGATAAATCAAGAAGATCACATCAAACACTGTGTGAAGTTCCTCGAAGAGGATTGGAAGTATATCGACAACGCGGGCGCAAGAAACGCCATGTTAAAATTCACGAGGATTGGAAAGCGTTTGGCTGCGATTAGTGCAATCTTTTTATACAGCAGTGGACTTGCGTTTCGAACATTGATACCTTTGTCCAGAGGGAAGATTGTAACCCCACAAAACATTACGATCAGACCTTTACCCTATCCAACTTATTTTTTTTCATTCGATGATCAATGCAATCTGATCTACTATACATTGGTATATGCGTTGCATACTTTAGCCGGGGTAATCATTATGTCGATCGCGACAAGTATATATGGTCTCATCATTGCCTTCGTAATGCATGCTTGCGGCCAGTTGAAAATTTTAGTAAATTTACTAGAAGTTTTCGTTGAAAAGGAACAACAAGACGGATTAGAGGTGAATAAGAAACTAGGTGTTATTGTAGAGCATCAAATACGAATACGCAGGTGTGTTCATGGTTATTTGATCATGTTTTACTTGTTTATTTTTACGTGAAACTATCACGATAATATCACATTATCGATAAATTTCTTTTAGCTTTCTGCAGCTGGTGGAGCGTACTCTTCATTTTATGATTTTTATTGAGATATTAGGGGGTACAATAATAATTTGTACTGTGTGTTATTGCATACTAATGGTGTGTAGTTTTATTTATTTTAATATCGTTAGCACTAAAGTACATCACAAAGTAAATCACAATGAATGGTCAACAAAAATTTATCGGCGAATTCATTACAGTAGTTGTTACACGTAATATAGAAATATAGAAATGTTACATAAATTTTTTTATAGGAATGGGAATCTAGTAATTCAATAGCAATAACCTCTTATTTTATTACATTTTCTACTGCGGTAGTAAATACGTTCCTATTCTGTTATACGGGCGAGCAGCTTATTACGCAGGTACATTTTTATATAATGAGATTGTAAGTTTGTCTCTTCGGTCACGCATATGCAATTGTAGTCATGCGTGCAGCATAAATGTGTGCACTCGATATATATCTTAATGCGTTTAGTACTACTCTTTTAAGACCACCTGTTCACGAAAGCTTAGGAATTATAACTTTCTATTTAAAACGATAGACGGAGAAGGTAGCCATCACATCTTGCGAACTCGAGTGGTATCGTCTTCCGGATAAGAAGGCACGTGGAATCGTTTTAGTGATGATTATGTCTAATATGCCGATGCAAATTACTGCTGGTAAAATCTTCGTCCTATCATTCAAGACATTTGGCGATGTAAGAAAACAAATTAGAGCATAATTAGTATAATTTACTCGTACGCAAAGCAATTATCGCTATGTGATAAACTGGAAAAAATGTTTGTTTATACTTCTTAGAACTATTATATTTTTATATTATCTCTTTTTTGTATATATTTATATTGTTCTATATTGCCTATATTTGTGATTTTAAGATAATTTGACTAATAATGCACTATTTCATCGCGTTTGAATCTGGTACGAAAAATTATGTGAAGGCAACTATAAAATTTTCGATTTAAATATGAAATTTTATTTGTAAAATATTTCTGTGTTTTTTCAGATTCTTAAAACAGCTGTGACTTATTTTAATATGCTTCGAACTGTAACGAACTGAATCTGCTTTTGTGACAGAATCTAACGAACAAACATGGATGCAAGATATGTAATAATAATATCACATTAATTAATCAACATTACATTTCATCAATAGCTATGATGCACTTCAAATTTTCCTATCAAAATGAATGTGATAAGCAAATGATATTCTGCGAATTTTTGGAAAAATGAAACCAAAAATGAAAAATGTAATTCTGCTATTTTTAGAAAAAGTGTTTGTAGTTGACTATTAAATTGAGTACCAGATTTATTGGTACCGAGTAAATTATTAGTTATTGTAATGTAAAACTCCACGAGGTAGAAGAGGTATGATTATTTGAAAGTTACTTCGGATATATATAGAACGTCTGTTTCAGTCTTTCCCTTTGTATTAAAATTTCTTGTCTGATAGAAAGTCAACCCTCGTAGAGTCAACCCTTCAGAACTCAAGTTTAAAACAGAGGTAGTGCAGTGTAGCAGTTGTGTGAATTTCCTCTCATTCCTGACTTGGAATATTAATGTGTAAAATGCGCGCAAGCGCTGTTAATACTTATGTTTCGCATGCTCGCATCAGTCGATCTCGGTGTTTGCTGGCGATCAGTAAAAGCAAGCGAGCTCGCGACTTGCAAATACTTAGAGCGTATAGAATATCGTCGGTACTTTTCGATGTGTTATCGAGAATTATAAATTAGAAACGCATTTTTTAATTAATTTTTTAACTTCTTTTAAAACTTCTCTTTTCATTCGCCATGAAGAGACCACTTTCGCAGGCAGGTACAAATAAGTATTACGAGCAAGATATAGAATATGTCACTAAACAGAGTCAATTTTTTCTACGAATACTTGGTGTTTGGCCTTTACTCGAAAAGGACCTGTCCGCCGTTGAAATGATATGTGAAATACTTCTAATAACAATCTGCTGCTTCCTTGTGTGTGTCATAGTCGTTCCTGGTGTTCTCTATTATATGTTCTACGTTGAGGAAGAGCCGCATGCTAAACTGACTATGATTGCTTCTAAAATCTACTCATTTATTCTACTCGCCAAATACCGTACTCTAATCCTCTACGAAGATGAGATCAGGACTTGCCTGGGACATGTAAAAGACGACTGGAAATTCGTCGCGATATCGAGGGATATCATGATAGAAAAAGCAATGATAAGAAGCAATATGCTCACCCTTTGTTATACCATGTTGTATTGCGCCGGTTTGTCTTTCCATACGATTGTGCCGTTAACGAAGGGAAGGCTGTTTACTGATGAGAATGTCATGTTCAGGCCGTTGGCTTTCGCAGGTTATGTCACTCTCTTTGACAACCAGCACAGTCCCGCTTATGAGATTATGACCCTGCTACAGTTTTGCGGCGGTTTCGTCATGTATTCCGTAACGATCATACATGCTCGTGCTGCTCGTGATGCACGCGTGTGCACAAATGAAGATCTTAATAATGTTATTGGAGGATCTTGTGGACGAGCAGACCTGCACAGAAAAAAATGTGGACAAAAGGTTATCGATAGTCGTTGAGCATCAGATTAGAATACGAAAGTAAGATATTTGTTTTGTCGAATTCGTATCTTTTTCTATTTTTTTTTATCTCTTGACTTGTTAAGCGTTAATGATGGAATTGCTTTCAGTTTCTTATATCTGGCAGAAGATACTTTGCAACATAGTAGTTTGTTTGAGATATTGGGTTGCACCATAATAATGTGTCTTGTAGGATACTGTATTCTCATGGTAGGCAGCACCTTCAGATTGTGTAATGGTGAATATAATTTTTCATTTCATTATATACACATCATGCACACATTATTTCATGTGATATATGTAAAATTGCAATTACTAGTGTTTTGTCGGAAATATGATATACATGTTAAACTTACAGGAGTGGCGAGATGGAAATATCGCAAATGTGTGTACTTTTCTCATTGCTCTGGTTTCCGTTGCAATTAATATTTTTATTCTCTGTTACGCCGGTAAACATATTACAGCGACAGTAAGTGGATTTTAATTAATATCTCGAAATTTTACGTGGTTTTTTGAAAAATGACCTCTACAATTTTTGTTCTCTTTTATCTGTTCTACTTATATTTTTCTTTTGGCACGTCTTACGCGGGACATCCTGTATATATATATATATATATATATATATATATATATATATATATATATATATATAT